CGCTGTGTGACTCCTGCCGTACCTACCAGCCCCTACAAGCACGAGGGGGTCAGGGAGGGGGCTTGATGTGCCTGCTGACCAGCGCTCACCTCCCGGGGCCAGCGTCCCAAGGCGGCTGAGAACGGGCTGGGGGTCCTCAGCCAGCCTGTCCATGGTTCCCGCTGTGGGAAACCGCCCAGAGCACCCCCTGCCCTTCAATCTGCCTCACATTTTATTGTGGAGCATACAGTCTTGAGAGGACTAGTTATTCGAGTTCTTGAGGTGACTGAGGGTACAGCCAAATCCTCCCCGCCCAGTTCAGCCTGCATGGCCCCACTGACATTTTGCTCTTCCCCCGCCCTCTGTGCCTTGGATGGGGCTGGTGTCAGGCCTCTGGCAGGGGGCGTGCCAGAAACAGTCTCAGGACAGCCCCGACCCACATGACAGCCCCCGCTCATGACGCCCTGCCTGGTCTGGCACCCACAGCCATCAACTCCACCCTGAGCCTCCTGAATGGCTCAGAGAGCTCCGAGCTGTTCACCGCCTCCGGGAAGCCGCCCTCCACATGCATCCGGTGTGCGGTGGTGGGGAACGGAGGCATCCTGAATGGCTCCCGCCAGGGGCTGAACATCGATGCCCATGACTACGTGTTCAGGTATGTGGCGCAGGAGCCAGGGAGGAGGTGGGAGAGGAGCTGGGAATGGAGCTAGTCCCCAGCCAGCCCCTGGGGGAGCATCCTCTGGGAGGGCCATGGCCATCGGGACGGGCAGGCGGGCCTGGACGAAGGCCTACGTGCAGACAGACCCCGAAGATGGGAGTGCCAGCAGGGAGGGAGCCGCCGGGGCCAGATGTGCCCATTTCACAGGCCATCCCTTGAGGTCTGGAGGAGCAGGGACGGGCTGGATGGGGCACTGGTGCCGCCTTGGGCAAGGGGCACGGTCTGCACAGAGGCCTGGGGGCAGGCGCGGCAGAACCCCGGGGAAGGAAGTACACACACAGCATGTGTGACCATTGGGAGGCTGACGGACCTCTGTTTGGACCAGACTCAACGGTGCTGTGATCAAAGGCTTCGAGAAGGATGTGGGCACCAAGACCTCCTTCTACGGCTTCACTGTGAACACAATGAAGAACTCCCTCATCTCCTACTGGAACTTGGGCTTCACCTCCGTGCCACAAGGCCAGGTGAGGCTTCTGAGGGGCCTGCCACTGTCACTGACGGTCGGTGGCACTGTTCCCGGAGTCCCCTCTGTGAGGCGAACCACAGCGGCCCCAGTCCAGTAGATGGAGAGCTTGTGCCAGGATCCTGGGTGCATGTGATGGGGCCACTGAGGAGGGGGATCTGGGCAGGGACACCCCGTGGTTTCTGGCAGCACAGAACTGCTCTGGAGTAGAGCATGAAAGCCTAATAATATTCACTGGAAGCTTATGGGGTGCCAGGCTCTTTATGGGATGCCATGTCAGCCCCATTTTACTGCTGAGGAGACTAAGGCTGGGTGCCCTTCCTTCAGCAAGGACTCCCCCCTCCCCCCCACCCAGAGCTCACGCTACACACAGGGGAAGGGTACTTAGCGCCTCTTCTGTTCCCGGCAGTAAACATGGTCAGCTGCCTATTTCCTGACGGCAGCACATCCATCCAAGGCCACCACGCAGCTAAAATCAGCAACCTCCAGGCCCCTCTGACCCCACTAGCACTAGGGCTGTCTCCCATTTCCCTGAGCTGCGTTCCTGATCCCACAGCAGCCTAGGAGGGAGGCTGAGGTTCAAAGGCATGGAACCGCGTGCCCAGCCAGGGAGCAGGGGAGCCAGAATTCGAGGCCACCCACTGCCTGCGGCTTGTGCAGTCTCACCCAGTTGTGGGAACACTGCTCCTCCCTTCAAGAGCCGTCTGCGTGCCACATAAAGAGGGGAGATCCCAGGATAAGGGCTCTGTGGTGCTCGATAAGACTGGGCCGAGTTTCTGGAAGCTTCCTCCTCTGAGCAGGAAATCCAGGAGTGTCGTAGACACAGCAGGACCTCTCTTAGCTCGTGACAGAACAAAAGAGAGCAGCTTTTATTTCTGGCCACACTACCTGTGTGAGTTACCACTGCGTTAATAAATTACCCCAGACTTGGTAAACGACAAACATTTATTATCTTACAGTTTCAGGGGGTCAGGAATTCGGGAACAGCTTAGCACAACGGTCTTGGCTCAGGCTCAGCAGGGGCTATGGGCACTTGAAGGCTTGAAGGAGGCCAGAGTCAAGATGGCGCCTCTCTAGGCTACTAGAGTGTCCCCAGGTCATGGTGGCTCACTTCACCCAGCGCGAGGGGTCCCAGGGAGCTTTATAGCCTCATCTCCAAGGTCACACACCATCCCTTCCTCTTCTTCCTATTCATTAGTCACTCAAGGGGATGGCAAGTAAGCCCCACCTACCAGATTTGTGACCACGTGCCGAAACCACCATGGTACCCAGGAGTGGGGGTGACAGGCAGAGAGCAGAAATTCCCCCATCAAGACAGGTGGCAGGACCGGGTGGAGGGCTGAGCCGGCACTGGACACAGTCTTGTTCGGGGGGGCCGGGGGGGACTGGCTCAGGGTCTCTGTTGCCCTGACAGGACCTGCGCTATATCTTCATCCCCTCTGACATCCGGGACTACGTGATGCTGAGATCGGCCATTCTGGGTGTGCCTGTCCCCGAGGGCCCTGATAAAGGGGACAGGTGAGCAGCAGAGCGGCTGTGGGGTGTGGTAGTGCTGGGACCACTGTCAGGCTGGGAAAGTGGGTGAGGACAGCAAGAAAATCCCCAAGAATTCAGTCGACTGTTGGGGAATTACGCTCTTTTTTCCTACCCCCAGAGCAGCCCAGGTAACCCTCCTGGTCCCCAGGAGCCCGCCTGATGAGGTGGGCTGTAGCCCGGAAGGGCCGCTTTTCTGAGTGGAGCAGGTAGGCCCGGCTCCCCAGCTTCGGGCTGCTGGCCCCTACCCCACACAGCCCCCAGCCGGCAGCACAGGCCCCGCTCGTCCACTCCAGACTCTGCTGGCTTGCTGAGCACACTGTGTCTGGAAGCAGAGTCGGGGGGGCCGGTATCCATGGCCCTCATCCCCGTGGGCACCCTCCCAGGACTGTGCCTGTGAAACGGAGAGCAGGTGATGTGGGCCCAGTGTCCTGCAAAGAGAGAACAAAGGGCACTCTGTCTTTCCTCCCCCACCTTCCCGGGCAGTAGGCCCGTGTCCAGCTCTTTTGAACCATGTCCTGGCCTCAGCCGAACCTTCTCCCTGTGGTGCTGAGACGATTTCTTGTCCCAAAGTCAAGTCCTTAGAAATCCATGCCACCTCTGCAGCCACGAAGACCAGCCTTCCTATCTCAGTGCTTCTGGACCATGCCACCCACCCCCGAAAGGGCAGATTCTGAGGTCCTTAGGGGTTAAGCCCTCAAAGGCCAGGCCCGCTTACTCTGGCCCACCTGCACCCCACCCCCCCCTTGTGACGATCCAACAATCACTCGTGACACCGCAGCTGGTCATGAGGGGGTGCTTTGTGACACGGGGGGACTGGGCTCTTGCGGGGGCTGGCTCAGAGACATCGATCGGGTGGTCGTAAGCCTCCCCAACACCAATGAGCTCCCCCTCCCATACCCCCAATCCATCCCCTACCCAGTCCCCCTCCCAGTCCCGGTCCAACCATATCACCTCTTCCAACCAGCAGGCCTATTCCAGCTCTGGTGGCTCAGCCCCTTCTCCGTCCCCCACCCGGGGGTCTCCCTCCCGGCCCCCCTCTCACCCTGCCACCCCATCTGCCTCACAGCCCTCTTCCCGGGCCTCGTCCCTGACCCCCAGCCCTCATATCCAACATGTGCCCCGAGGGTCTTCCCAAAACCCCACTCCACCCACCTCCAAATCTCCTTCCCAATCCGGCTTGAAATCCCTCTCTCGAAACTCTTCCCAAACGCCTCCCGTGCCCATCCCCCGGTGGTCCCCTTCCCACAGCCCCGCCACCTCCGCCTCCTACATCGGACCCATTCGGGGCATCCCCTCCTACATCACCCCCTACGTGCCCCGCTTCCTGAAGGAACCCCCCTTCTTCCAGCCCCCCACCACACCCCTGCCCCAGAACCAGTGCTTCCCCTGCTCCTTCCCCTGCCCGGCCCGGGAGCCCCCTCCTATCCCGGACTCTCTCTACTTCCCCCTGCTCCCACCTCCTCCCCACCACCCCCGGGTCAACTGCTCCTTCCGGACCCCTCCCGCCCTGTTCACGCCCCCCTCCTCTCTCACCTACACGCTGCCCACTGAGGTCCTGGTGAGCGGAAAGCCGCACGTGGCGCCCACAGTGTTGCCGGCCACCTTCTACACGCCCTTCTCCCGCTACTACCCCCAGCCCCGCCCGCACCGCGCGCCCCGCCGCAGGCCCAGTGCCTTTCCCCTCACCTCGCTCCCCAACTTGCCCTACGACGGCCCGGGCCGCTCTGTCCACTTCTTCCATGGGTCCTAGGCCTCAGACCTATTTCGGACCAGAAGCCTCTGCCAGGAAATTCAAGCTACTACATCCAGACTTCATCAGCTACCTGAGGGAGAGGTAGGTGTGTGTGCGGGGGGGCGGTGCACAAAGAACAGCTCCTCCCTCCATCCCCCCTGCACACCAGCCCATCACTGCAGGTCCTTTATGGCCCAGACACTGTAACCTACAGCGAGAGCTAACCTGTATTGGGCCCAAACACAGGCAGTCCAAGGCGACCACAGGGAGGAACCTGGAAATACCGGCCTGATCTCACCCCTCCTTCCCTCCCTCAGTCCCTCTCCCTCTACCAGTGGTTCCCATGTGTGTGTGTGTGGGGGGGGGTCACGTGCCCCTCTGTGGAGACGTTCTGGTTGTCACTAGGTAAGCAGCACTACCAGGCAGACACAGGGATGCTGTTGAGCATCATACAATACACAGAATGCCCCTGCAACAAAGAATTATTTGGCCCAAAACGTCAGTAGTGCCATGGCTGAGAAGCCCTGCTGTCACCCCCTGGCTGGCATCCCCAGAGAGCAGGTGGAGAGTGGCGAGTGGATCTGGGGAGGCCGACTGGAGCCGGCACTCACAGCCCCACTCAGCAGAAGAAGAAACAGGCTCGGAGAGGCTAGGCGGTTTGGCTGGCAAAGCGTAGATGTGAATCCGGGCTGAGGTCAGGCCTGTGGCCACCGCACTGGGCCTCACTTTTGCATTCTGAGAGTGTGTGTGCACACTTCTCTCACCAGTGACTCCAGGCCCAGGACCTGGGTGCCCTGCCCCTCATGTCTCTCATAAGGGATTCTTGCTGGGCCGAAGTCTGTGGAAAGAAAGAAACCTAGGTCTCGGGCTAAATAGGCCACCTGTCCCCTACCCACTGTGGTTACTTAGCCCAGGGGTGAAGGCAGGGTGTTGCAGAGAGGAAAGGGGACTCAGGCTGGGTTCACGCTTCTAGAGTGGGAGAGGGAGGGATCATACCTGGGGTTCTTCTGCACAGGCCTGCTCCTCTTTCTCACCCCACTCTGTTACCCACACTTGGGCGTTTGCTTCATTTGGGTTTTTTCCTATAAATGGGGAATGGACTGCTCTAGAAGAGCCGGGAAGTTCTGAACGGTTTTCCAGGCCATCTGAACTGGTGGCTGGAAAGCCGAAGGGCACAACCATCGAGTGAGACCTACACCTCTTTCTTGAGTTTTGATGCCGCTTTTCGTCTCCAGGTTTTTGAAATCAAAGTTGATTAACACAAATTTTGGAAACCTATATATGCCTAGTACCGGGGCCCTCATGCTGCTGACGGCTTTGCACACCTGTGACCAGGTAAGAGGCCTTCCCTTTCGGGAGCCCACAGCAGCAGAGGACAGGTGTGGGTAGAACCTAATCTGATCCATGATAACCCCTACAGGAGGCCTGTCACCCCCAGGCCTGGGGCTCGGCCTCTGCCCTCTGGGGAAGGGATTCTCCAGCTGCAGGAGCAAAAGCTGGTCTCTGGAAGGGGCAGGAGGGAGTGCCACTCCTGAGCTACCTCCACATGGGCTACGCAGGGGCCTTTCCAGGGCAGGTGCTGGGCCAGCCTTTCACTGCCCTTCTGTCTGCACAGAGCTCGCCACTCTCCACCTGCTCTCCGGGGATGCCAGCCAGGGGGTGACAGCAGGGTTTCTCAGCCATGGCACTACTGACGTTTGGGCTCCTCCAGGAGCCACCTGCCCAGGCACCTCTGTCCTTCACCCCTGTGGTATTTAAGGCGCATGTTATCAAATTGTTCTTGTGAAAGCAAAATCGCAAAAGGAGTGGATAAGGACATCCTTCTAGAACTGGGCTGGGCAGCAGGTTTAGCCTTCCACAACCGTTGAAATCACTGCCTGAGACGTCCCCAGTGCCGCCCACATGAGTCCAGCAGAGGTTGAGAAGCACTTTTCAGAGAAGGGCAGTGAAAGCCAGTACAAGAGCTGGAGATCAAGGGCCGCTCCACGACGCTGTCCTATTCCTTTTCCCAATTTGTTTAAAGCAGCAGTCTCTTGACTGTGCTCCCATCAGAACGAGCAAGTAATAATGGGCTTTTGTCTCCACCTCGAGCTTAACGAAGGAGATCACGAATCACAGACCCGACTCTGAATCCCAGCCTGGCCCCTCGCTAGCTCGTGACTGAGGACATGTCCGGTTATCTCTCCGAGCGCTTCCCCACTTGTAAAATGGGGATAATACCTGAGATTATCCTGAGGCTGAGAGAACGTGTACAAGAGCCAGGGCCCGCTGTTAGCTCGAGCTCCAACTATTGTTTATGTGTGTGTTGGACAAGGTGGGGGGGGGGGAACCGTGCCTTTCCCAATTCATGTCACTTCACAATTCTGTCTGCACAGAGCTCAGTAAATGCTAATTCAATGACTATCCTTGTCCAGGTTAGTGCCTATGGATTCATCACAAGCAACTACTGGAAATTTTCTGACCACTATTTCGAGCGAATAAAGAAACCACTGATATTCTACGTCAACCACGACCTCTCCCTGGAAGCCACCCTGTGGAAGAACCTGCACAAGGCCGGCATCCTTCAATTGTACCAGCGCTGACCCGGAGGTACCCAAGCCCTTTGTTCTCGCAGAGCCGTGGACCCGTGGCCCCAGCCCCTCACGTGGCCTAAGCGGCCTCAGGTCTTTTCAGCCTCTAAGAAGGGCTCCAGCTCCCCTCCACCCACCCCTTCTTCTCTAGAGAACATTAAGAGGTGGATTTGTGACTCACTGAAGCTTGTTCATTGTGGGACACCCCATTTTGTTCTTGGGTTTCTCCAAGAAAACTCCCCTCTGGGTTGGAGACAGACATCCCGACCTTGGGTGAAGGGAAAAGACTGCTCTGCTGGATGTTTTAAAACTGAAGGTAACACAAGATGAGATTGTGACCCTCACCAGCGAAGGGCAAACATACTTCGGAGCAGAGGATCTCAAAGCCAGCAGCTGGTACGGAACCTGAGGATGTCGGTGCGACTGCAGACATGTCCACGGACCAGGGTCAAGCAGCAGGAGGCTCACACACTCCACAGCCAGACCCTCCCACGAGCACGTCCAGCTCCCAGCACCTCCATGACGAAGGACTCTTAAGACGCACCTAAACCACCTGAGAACATGACCACTTTCCTCCTCCTGCCCCATGATAAAGCGGGAGCACAAACGGCAGAATGTAATTTGAACTAGGTACTTGAATAAATGACAGGATGAGCCTTGTGTCTTTTCTGTGTGTTGGGGAGGGGGCTGGGGGTGGTACACCACAGTGTTTAGCATGCAGATCACTCAGAAAATTCAAGAACCATGGGCCAGCCCTGGTAATTTGACAGGGGTCAACTGCACAGAGGGCTGCCGGCCTAAGTCGTTAACGGATGGATTACCACCTGGCCACCAGAAAGACGACACGATCAGGTAATGAACCCTCAGCTTCACATCATGGCTTCAGTAAATCTGGGCTTACATGATAGGCAGTTTCCTTTTAGACAGAGCACATGGGCCCCTGTTGGAAGGGTAAGTCTCAACTAACCAAGGTATCACCATATAGGCCTTAAGCCCTGGGATTTACTGGCCTGAGGACTAGTAGCTCAAGTCTGATCTGCTCCACTGTCCAAAGCCTGCCTGAGGGGGCACTGATCACCACTGGCTAATTCACCAAGGCCCAGGACCTGGCCTCTGGCTCCGTGGTTTTGGAAGGCAGATCCTATGAGCATGTTTTAGAGGGATGAACTGTCACTGGAATCAAACTACTTTAGAAATTCAGGTATGTGATCAAAGACCTGGGCATTCATGTCAGAGGCAGCTGCTTGAAACCACCACTTCCTGCAGCTGGCGAGCAGTGTAGGCTGGAGGGGAGTAGCAAGCAGGAGGCCAAGGCCTCTCCCTTTAGCTTGGCAACATCGAACTGTCCCTTGATCTCAAAGACAGCAGTGTCCCAAGTATATTTCTCTGGAAAGAATTATTGGCCTGGGAAGAACACCATCAAATGTGGGAAACCTGGTACCAAGTAATCAGTCCCTTCTGCCACCTGACAGTGACCTTTACTAGTAAAGAAATCCAACTGCCCTGGTAAGCTAGCATAGCCTAAGTCAGGACGCCTGGCCTCCTTGTATCCAGGACACTTGTCCTTATTCCCGTCACATCTGTAGCTATCAGAACCTAGGTCAATCCGTTACATTTGAGAAATGCTAACGTTATGTTTGTGGGTGGTAACCCATTAAGAGGGGCAGAAAATCAATTTAGTGGGGAACTTCTAAAACATGATTGCATCCTATGAAACTTGGGGGACCTCAGTGGCTCAGTCGGTTAAGTGTCCCACTCTTAGGGAGAGGAAGTAGACTCCCCGCTGAGCACAGGGCCCAGACGTGTCTGACTCGATGTGATTTCAGCTGGTGATCTCAGGGTTATGAGATCGAACCCCCCGATGAGCATGGAGTTTGCTTGTGACTTTCTCTCCCTCTGCCCCTCTTAAAAAACAAACAGTATTCTGTGAAACCTTCATTTACGTAAGAATGTGTTAGCTAAGTCACAGAATAAAATCCCAGTATGAGGGTCTCAACATGAAATCCATGTTACAAAAATCCATTTTTAAAAACTTTTATTTGTGCTTCAAAATTTAAGCCCAAGATACATTAACTTCACAGGAAATCCACTCTGAGAAGCCTCTTTCTAGGCGGAGCACCTGCTTCCCCTCAGTCTCCCCAAAACAGAGCACATACACATTAACCCTTTTCAGTTCACAATCATGCCCTCTTGCCAGCACACCAGTTACACCCAGATCAGCTAAACTGTGGCATCCTGGATGTTACACCCTGATTTGACTGCCAGCGGGATGAGCTGTCACTCAAATTCTTTGGCTCCTTTTGCAGACCAAGTCCAAAGAATTCTTCAATTATTCTCCCTTTGGGGGATTATTTTGCAGGCATTAACAATTAGCAACAGAGGCCGTGCTGCTCCACCTGGCATCGCCTGTCCTGAGGAGATAACCTGCAAGACCAAAGGAGAGTCATTTGATGGATCAGTCAAGCAGGGGACTCAAAATTGAAAGCCAAACTGAATGAAGAAAAGGCAATCGTAGCAGCGCTCATTGTAACCAAACATTAGGCCCATGCTGTTGAGGGGACCACCGGGCACAGAATGCTTCAAAGCAGGCTGCTAGGATTCCCAGAAGACCCGAAACTGCAGCCTGCCCTCAGGAGCTAATGCGCAAAGGGAGCAGGGTCTGGCAAGGGGCCAGGGAAGAACCACCACGAAGCGCTGGGGACATTCTCATTCAACCCCTTTCTGGAGGTTAAGCTTTTCTTTTCAAGTCAAACCTAAAGGTCTACGTGAGTCCCGTGGTGCAGTCAAATCTACTCCGCAGGAACAGTAAGGCAAGAAGTCAGCTTCCCGACTTGCTAAAACATATACTTTTACTGGGGCCAGTTTTCAGGCTTATTAAATCCCACCCCAAATCTAGCTTTCTTGGTAACTGAACAATTATGTGACCTTAAATACAAAAAGCCCATACATAGTCCCCAATTTCAACAGAAAAAGGCCATCTGCCCACTCTAAGCCTGGCATTTAAATGGGAACAAAGCCAGACACCCTCCCGGCCCAGTATCACTGGGCTACTTTCTTGTTCTCATGACAGCCCCTCAGCCCTCGGCTACCCCAGGAGCAGCCCCATGCCCATCATGCTGTCCAGACCCGATCTCAGCTAACCCTAGGAGAGCTCCCTGGTGTTGTAAACAAAGCACCTGGAAACCAAACAGCTCTGCTGGTGCCATGCCTTCTTTCCTCAACGTCACCATGTGGCGCAGAGGTAGGTCACAGTCCTGCCGCAACCGGCAGACTTCCGACATTCCCGTCGGTTTCAAAGACTGCATTCATTTCCTCGAAATATGGGACAAGCGCTCTTTCATTCCACAGTAAGAACATGACCCACACCCGGGCTACTTGCCCATTTCTGCCCCCTCCTAGAGCCTGTACCCCAGGAATATCGATCAAGGGGCCTAGAGTGCGACAGGGCAGCCACACCATCACTTTTCAAGCTGCAGAGGGACGATGCGCTCGACTGGGGTCTCCGCAGGGTAGACAATTCCATCTGGAGTCCGTTCAGATTGATCCCTGATAAAGCCTCAACTTGTAAGAGCAAAGAGCCAAACCCCAATGCCTCAGAATAGATGGTTTCCCCTCAGCCGAGATGTTCAGACAGGGATAACTAACCATCATAGGCTTGTGGGGCTTCCGAGGGACACGAAAGATGGCAACAAAGACCACAAGCAACAGAGGAGTCCTTTCACTTACTTCAGGCAAAGCATGTCAGTTCTGTCTCACACACCGCAGACATCTAGCAAAGAAAACAAACCCATGTTAGGGGCGCCTGGGTGGCTCAGTCGTTAAGCGTCTGCCTTCGGCTCGGGTCATGATCCCAGGGTCCTGGGATCGAGCCCCGCATCGGGCTCCCTGCTCGGCGGGAAGCCTGCTTCTCCCTCTCCCGCTCCCCCTGCTTGTGCTCCCTCTCTCGCTGTGTCTCTCCCTGTCAAAAAATAAAATCTTAAAAAGAAAAAAAAAGAAAACAAACCCATGTTAAAATCTCCCTGCCACTCAGCACAATCCTAAACCCGAGGCAGGAGCAGCAAAACAAACATCCCATCCAAGTCTACTTGGAAGGGCTCTACTTACGTACGAAAGCAAAGTCTCCACTTCGGGCCCAGGGCAGTGGACTAGGCGCTACCTATCTGCTTCTGCAGGATCCTTTTCCAGCCTCAGAAACCGAGGCTGAGACTGCACCTGGCAAGGAAAAATTGCAAAAGAAAAACCTACTCAAGATATACACAGGTTAACTCTCAAGTAGCTCACCCTCAAATCTGGCCTCCATTTTTTTATAAAGCAAACTTGGGAACTGAGTTTCAGACATCCATATTCCACAGAAAGGCCTTTCTTTGCCTTCAGACAGGGATAACTTTAGATCATCATGGACTCAGCTCCCACCAATCCTCCAGCCCACGGGCTGATCCTTCTAGCAGAGGGAGACCACTTTTTCCTTACAAAATTCTGCTTTGCTTCCCTCATTAGGAATTCTCAATCTTGGGCGCCTGGGTGGCTCAGTTGATTAAGTGACTGCCTTCGGCTCAGGTCATGATCCTGGAGTCCCGGGATCGAGTCCCGCATCGGGCTCCCTGCTCTGCAGGGAGTCTGCTCCTCCCTCTGACCCTCCCCCCTCTCATGTGCTCTCTCTCTCATTCTCTCTGTCTCAAATAAATAAATAAAATCTTCAAAAAAAAAAAAAAAAGGAATTCTAAATCTTGTCTACTTTATTAAAAGAATTTTCCTTCAAGGTAAAAACTGCTGATACCTAGTGCCCAGAGGTACCCAGCATCCCAGACCTGACTCACTGACACTTCCTGCCCCCTCCCCTTTTTAACAGATTTTATTTATTTATAGTGACAGAGAGAGACACAGCGGAGAGGGAACACAAGCAGGGGGAGTGGGAGAGGGAGAAGTAGGCTTCCCACTGAGCAGGGAGCCCGATGCGGGGCTCGATCCCAGGACACCGGGATCACGACCTGAGCCGAAGGCAGACGCTTAACGACTGAGCCACCCAGGCGCCCCTACTTCCTGCCCTTTTAAAGACAGAGTCTACCTTGGCACAAAGTACCTGATAGCAGAGTATGTGTGGGGTGTATATTCCATTGTCAGTAAAATGTGCGGTTACTCCTTTGGGACATCCTGTTGAAGGCCAGCTGTACAAAGGGAACCCGCTGCCAGAAGGCACCATCACACAAGGTCATTTCTCTTTCACTCACCTCTGCATACACAATGATCCACAGAGCTGGATCAGTTTTTTTTTAGTAGAGGATTATAGATCTGCCTCCAAGGGTTACTTAAAAATAGCCAGTGCTGTGGGGCGCCTGGGTGGCTCAGTTGGTTAAGCGACTGCCTTCGGCTCAGGTCATGATCCCAGGGTCCTGGGATTGAGCCCCGCATAGGGTTCCCTGCTCAGCGGGGAGCCTGCTTCTCCCTCTCCCAATCCCTCTGCTTGTGTTCCCTCTCTTCCTGTGTCTCTCTCTGTCCAATAAATAACATCTTTAAAAACAAAATAAAACACAAGAAACAGCTGTATTAACTCTAAGCCTCAGTTTGTTTGCTCAGTAGCAAAGGAGAAAATATCTACTCCACTTAAGATTGTTTAACAAGTAGTTTGGGAGACTGCTTGGCAAGGAGGCTAGCAGAGTTCCACACTCCTTCCCTTACCTGGGCAGGAACAATCCTGGGAGGCTCACAACCTTGAAATCTAACTAGACACTAAAGGGACGCTAATCTCTGCAATTCTGCCGAAGAGCTAAAAAAAAAACTTCCCATTTATAGAATTTTCATAAAAAAATCCTTACACTCAACATCTTACGATGATGGTTTTCACTTGACTTTTTTCAGAGTCTACAGTCAACACCTTTAATCTCTAAGGGAAATGTACTTCGTTCCAATGTCAAGATGTTATCTCAAGATTGGTATTTAAAAAGCTGAGCCTCAAGGCATCAGAACTCTTCACAAAAGATGTCCTTTCAGACAAGGATAACTTTAAATCATCCACAAGTATTTCTAAACCCCAGCCAACCAAAACCCATTTCCTAAGTCTCCCTTCCATCCCTGTGTGCAGCAACCCTTTTGATTCCAAACAGTGACACCTAGTGGCCCCAAATCACACCGGCACGGGCCCGGCTCATTTCCGGATTTGGGGTCCATTTTTCTCACCCTAACTGGATTTATGCGTCCACGTGCTCATAAAACTGAACTTAAAACCAGAATAAAGTGTGAGGCTGCGGTAGGTGGCGGGCCTTCCGGCATCCATCCTTACTCATTTCAGGGATGCATTCGTTACTTTTAAGCTTCAACCTGCAGGTCTGCTGCTCACTGCCTCCGCAGATGCCAAAGAAAAGCCTGTGGGGAATGAAAAAATGAGCTTGGAAGGTGGGTTGTAGAATTATGGCTTTCCAAAATCGACAATCCCATTTACGACTGTCTATAGGATTAAATAGAAACTACTGATTAGGGCCGTCCTCAAGGCACTCTAGGAGGGACTTGACTTGGACGTTAACACTCGATGTGAATTAAGAACTGCCACCCGCAGCCTGCCCCGTGGGCGGGCCTCGGAGCCCCGCAGGGCACACAGTAGTTGTGCGACGCACGAGGCTGCACAGGCTGGGAGAACCTCTCCCGCCCCAGGAGGGGCCCTCTAACTCCAAAGGAGGGCCTGAGCGCTCTCCCTTCAATCATCAACACTCGCGCCCTTCTGCGTCTTCTGAGCCGGTATTTCCACTAAGCCTCCCAACCACCCTAGAAGGGAGACCGGCTTATCGACACCATTCCGCCTCTGAGGCAGGGGAGGCCGAATGAAGTTGCGCCGGGTCAAGGAAGATCTCGTTTCCCCACCTCCACAGCCTTACCGCAGCCAAAGGCCCGAGAATGCTCGCCCTGTTGGATCCAGCCAGAAGCCGCCATGCCTCCCAGCCACGCGGCCTGCCCCGAAAAGAAGGTGGAGCCGCGCCTGCGCACACGTCCTCTCAGCAGTCTCGCGAGAGCTCGCGCGATGTTGAGAAAGGGCTCAGGGGAAATGTAGTCCAAACAACCGCCGATGGGGGCGGCCGCATTCTCAGCGGGGCTCTGGACGTGGGGATAAGATGGTGGCCGCCACCAGGGACAGTAGAGACCCCGGGGTGGGAGGCCTGATCTTGGAAGAAAACGAAGATGGACGGTTGCTTCAGCTACAGTCATTTATCTACTGAGTCCACAGATTGTCCCTGGCCGAGACTGGGGTGGCGCAGAAAGTTCAAGGGGGCCTCACGAGGGGAACGGATGAGGAAACCGAGGCCCGGCCGGATTGCATTCTTAATCGCTCTGCGGATTTCACTTGGGGCGGGGAGGGGTCATCTGGGTGGTGGGCTGCATTAGAGAAGGGGCGGCAGATTCCCGGGGGACTGTAGGGTGTCCTGCTCCGCTGCCCTTCAAGTTGGGGTGAGGGCGGGGAGGCCCGGGCGGCAGGGGGCGCCCGCGAGCTGCGGCTCCGAAAGACCCTGAGCCCCACTCGCTGGGCGGCTTTAATTCCACAAGAGAAAAAAAACCAGAGAAGAGCAGGGGTGGTGTGTAGCAGCCACCGCCCCTTCTGACCATTATTCTTTTTTTTTTTTTTTAAAGATTTTATTTATTTATTTGACAGAGAAAGACACAGCGAGAGAGGGAACACAAACGGGGAGTGGGAGAGGGAGAAGCAGACTCCCCGCCAAGCAGGGAGCCCGATGCGGGGCTCGATCCAGGGACTCCAGGATCATGACCTGAGCCGAAGGCAGTCGCTTAACCAACTGAGCCACCCAGGCGCCCTGACCATTATTCTTAACACTCACTAGTCAGAGCCAGAATTTACACCTATTTGGAAATTAGTTTAAATTTGCAAGACCGGGAAGCCTTTTCTGCATTATCCTCCCCCCTTTCTCATCAACCTTTTAGCGATGATTTCAGTGGCATTGAGTCTGGATTGTTATTCTGTATGCGGCCATAGGTCCCACGTGCTTATTATCAAGTTGCCACATTTGTTTATGTTTGCCTATTTGACTGTAAGCTCTTAAGGCAGGAGATGTCTATCTCTCTTTTTTTAGATTTATTTATTTATTTGAGAGAGAAAGCGCGCACGCACAGCAGGAGGAGGGAATCTCAGACTCCCCATAATCCCACACCAGGGCTCCATCCCACCACCCTGAGATCATGACCTGAGGGGAAACCAAGAGTCCCTCGCTTAACCGACTGAGCCACCCAGCCGCCCCAGGAAACATCTCTTTTAGTTATTTTTATTTTCTTTTTAATTTCGTCACAGTGCCTGGTTGGTATTTCGCTGCCTCTGCTCACAGAACATACTCAACAGGTAATCATGGGCTCACTTAGCAGTAACTTCTATCTTGTAAAATTGGCCCATAAGTTTCTCTGTCTTACCCTTGAAGATACTGTTTTGTATAATACCGAAAGGGGGAATGGGTTCTCTCCCTGTACACTAGGAGAGGGTGTTTTTGTTTTTTTAAGATTTTATTTATTTAAGAGAGAGAGGGAGGGCACTGAGGGAGAGGGAGAGGAAGAAGCAGACTCTCCACTGAACAGGGAGCCCCATGCGGGATTGGATCCCAGGACCCTGAGATCATGACTGAGGCAGGCATCCTTGGAGAGGGAGTTTTGTTTTTGTTTTTAAGATTTTATTTATTTTTCTGATAGACAGCAAGAGAGGGAACACAAGCAGGGAGAGAGAGAGAGGGAGAAGCAGGCTTCCCGTGGAGCAGGGAGCCCGATGCGGGGCTCGATCCCAAGACCCTGGGATCATGACCTGAGCCAAAGGCAGACACTTAACGACTGAGCCACCCAGGTGCCTCTGGAGAGGGAGTTTTAAGTGTGGAAGTTCCAAACACTGCAGGGCTGCAGGCGAGCGACCTGCTGCAGGTGAACAATAGCCAGAGTGGATACCTCGTGGCACTTACTATGTTACTCCTGGAGCACTAGATGTGCACTGATTTGTTTAATGTGCACCATGCCCTGTGAAGGGCACCGTCACTACCCCTGTTTCACGGATGAGGGAATGCAAGCATTGAGCGATGAAGTAACTTGCCCAAATGCACACAACTGGTACTTGCTGGAGTCCCCTGCATGTAGAGTCCATGCTTTCACCACTAAGTTGTACTGCACCAGGTGAATCTATACATCAGTCTTATTATAGGGCTTCTGGTTGTGGGGGAGAGGAGCAAAGAGGGGTTTTGTGTGTTTGCAGGGGTTGTTAGGGATGAAATTACTGGGGGGAATGATGGGCCCCTGTTCCACAGTTTTTGAGCCACTTTATGGCAGGAAGGGTAAGGAGGAGAGGCTGCAGGGGCTGATGGGTGCTAGACCATGGGGCTCTGGGCTCTAGCAAGGCTGTCTTGAGTCCCGGACTGGTTGCTGCCTAGTGTGTCCATAGTGTAGCTTTCACACCCGACAGGACACTTAGCGGAAGAGCAGCAGGCTCACAGCGGATGGGGTGTCCCGGGCGGCTGGGCAGCGGCCAAGAGGCCAGAGTAAAATGCAGTGAGAGGACTTGTGACTGCGCACCTGTTGGGCACGCTGCCTGGACAGGCCAGAAATCCGTGGGAAAGACCGGGGGGCTCAGGCGGCTAAGCATCTGCCTTCGGCTCCGGTCATGATCTCAGGCTCCTGGGATGGAGCCCCAAACTGGGCTCCTTGCTCAGCGGAGAGTCTGCTTCTCCCTCTCCCTCTGCCCCTCCCCTCCTGTTCCTGTGCTCGTGCGCGCACGCACTCTCTCTCTCCCTCAAATCAATCAATCAATCAATAAACATCTTAAAAAGAAATCAGTGGGAAAGACAGCAAAGAATGCATCAGATTTCTGAACGAGCAAGCAGGGGTTCAGAGCTGTCGAGACCAAAGTGTTAGATGTTGTGATTTCTTCTTTTTTTTCTTTTTCTTTTTTTAAGTAGGATCTACACCCAACACGGGGCTTGAACTCAGGACCCTGAGATTGAGTCGTGTGCTCCACTAACTAAGCCAGCCAGGCGCCCCGAGGTCTGGGATTCTTGAGTTTTATGTGCGGTGGACTTACGATGCAGCCGTTATCCAAGGCTAGTGCGGATCTGTGGTTACTGATATGGACAGAGTCACACAGTCCAGTGCTCAGTGACAGAAGCAGAACACTAGCGGAGCAGGGCCAAAGTCCTCGGTGCAGTGCAAGGGCCTTGGCTGTGAGCACAGAGGTGAGATCTAGTCAGTTGGCCTTCTGTGCTCGGGTGATGAGCTCACTGGGTTCCATTCACTGATAGGATTTCAGAGATGGTATCCGAAACCCACATTAATAGGAAGCCGAGTCTTTGGAATATTGAGGTTAATTTCTTAACCTGGAAAGGAAGCTCTACTATCATTAGTAAGAACAGGAAGGTGGATAGGTATGTCCCAAGCAGTTGGCTGCTTATGTCGGGAGCAGCCGACCGGTGATTCACAGGACGTTCATCTGCGTGGCAGCCCACAGCGGTTCTTCCTCCATCTCACAAGCGGAACAAAGCTACTGGCTGTCTTTGTGCTTTGGTGGAGACGGGCTCCTCCCCAGCCCTAAGGGCGAATCTTGATGAGTCGGCCCCAGACCCTTACATAAATCTATTCCTTCTGCCAGGAATTCAGAAAAGGGTGTGTGATGCAATTATGCCAAGTTTGGGGAAGTGTTCTTGTTTTTAAAAACAACAGCCTCTCTCCTGGCTTTGGGACGCTGTGAAGATAGGATGCTTGAGGCTGTGGCAGGCTTCTTGCATCCGTGAGGCTTGTTCCAAAGCCAGAGCCGAAAGTCTGACGTGGCAGAGCAGAAACAAAGAACAGCGTCTTCATGATGAACTGCCGAAATACCAGTCCTAGAGCCCCGTACCTTCAGACCTTTGTTTTGACTCAGAGACACATATTTTAACATTTTAATATTTCTGAATGCGAGGAGCATCTTACAAGCAATGACATGTTAGTTTCAGTGAAACACAGAATCAGAGTTTTTCACATTTATTTATTTTGGGGGGGAGGAGCAGAAGGAGAGGGAGAGAGAATCCCAAGCAGACTCCCCGCCGAGCACAGACCTCCCCCCCACACACACACACAACGCAGGGCGCAGTCTCATGACCCTGAGATCATGACCTGAGCCGAAACCAAGAGTTGGGCGCTTCACCTACTGCACCACCCAGATGTCCCAGAATGGGAGATTTAAAAAAGAAGTGTCCTTACTGTTTGAGCCACCCTAAGTTGGGTGTTCTGTTAGAGTCACAATCGTCCTAAATGATATGATCCACATGTCCCAAATCTTTTTCGTTTTATTATAATTCTCTGAAAGAACAGGTCATGGCAAAATAAAAGGAATGAGCTGACACGTGCATGTCCCCTTTCTGAAAACACAAAAGCTACTGTCTATTGAGTGTTTGCTCTGGGCCAGGCTCTGCTCGAAGCACCTTCCTTTTAAGAAGCCAACATATTGAGGCCAGACTGGCATACGAAAACCGTACATGCTTAACGCCTCAGACTTGATGGGTCTGAACACATTGCATGTACTGTCCCTTCATTCTCCCATCTGCCCTCTTATGATCACCCCCCTTTTGCAACCAAAGAAGCCAAAGGGCAGAAAGGTGAAAGTGATCAGTAAGTGGGAGCGTTGAGATCAGACCTCAGACAGTCCAGCCTCAAAGCCTCTGATCCTCACCGCTGTGCGGAGTTTCCCGGAAGAACACGGGATGACAGTGGGACACATTTTGCTTCACTCCAGTGGCCTGACTTCAGCCAGCCAGAAAGCCCAGCATAAAAGCACAGGGGTTTTTTTTGTTCCCGCCTGGGATTTCTGAAGATCATGAAAGCGTGCCACAGATTGTGTTCAGCAGAAATCTGGGACTGTGGACCACAGCTTTAACCTCCTGCAGGGGGAGAAATGTCGCAAGGCGTATCCCATTCACTGAGAAGAGGCGACCTTGGCATGGCAGTGGGTTGTTTCCTGTGTTTGCTAAGAGCACACACATCACTTGCCTGCTCAGCAGAGCTGTTGCCTCTCGTAAAATTATTGCTTAATGGGTTCTTAACAAATAAGTGAATGAGAAGAACATGTAATATCTTGTTGACCTCTTCTGCTCATTTTGGGACACGTCTCTCCATTCCCAGGAACCCTGCCTTCCCACGAGTGTTGCTCAGCCTTTGCTTATATTGTTTGTTCCCTTTGCCTCGAAATTTCCTTCCCCTCATCCTCTCCTCTGCTGAGCAAATTCCAGCTCCTGTGTCAATACCTCCTCCGCAAAGTCTCACCTGAGAAGCTGCAGCGGTCCCGAGCTCTCTGCTGGGTGTTCTGCCGCAGGCTGGCGAAAATATGTTCCTCGCCCAGGTAGGCTCGGAGCCGTCCCAGCCCTCTGATTCTAGCTCAGTAACCCCGCGTGAACCACTGCCCGTCCGTCTCAGCCTCTTTTCTCATCTGGACATTTAGAACAGTGCACGCACAAGCGCCTCCCCGGGCCGGGCGTGAGGGAGCGCGTCACGAACAGAACCTTGTTATTTGAGCACACTTCTTAGGATACTCACTGTCATGATTATTTGTTTTCACATCTGGCTTTTCCACTAGACTGTGAGCAAGACAAGGATCAGGTCTTCATTCTTGTTGTTTTTTTTTTTAAACTCTTTAAGTCATCTTTATTGAGGTATAATTTACATACAATAGAATGCATGCATTTAAAATGTACGATTCAATCATCCAATCAGCCGTACACCCGTATAACCACAACCCCGGTCAGGATTTAGAACATCTCCAGCACCCTGAAGGGCACCTTCCTGCTATTTCACAGTGTCCATATCTAGCCCTGGCACCAGACAACCACTGATCTGCTTTCTGCCATTCCAGATTAGTTCTGCCTGTTCTAGAATCTCCTCTACTTGGATTCATACGGTAGGTGCTCTTTGGGGTCTGGCTTCTCTCAGTGCCCCGTGTTATGACTCATATCGTGGCTCATTTCCTTTTTATTGCTGAGTAGTATTCCATTGTGTGAATACACTGCCCCCTTTCCTATCCGTTCACCTGTTGAAGGATATTTGGGTTGTTTCCAGTTTGAAGCTATTATTAATAACCCTGCTCTGAACATCTCTTTGTGTGGACCAGGTTCATTCCTCTTGGATAACTTCCTAAGAAACTGCCAAACTGGTTTCCCAGCAATGTATTAGTACAGGATTACGGTCGTTCACCAACATCTGTCATGGTCTTTTAGCCGTTCTGGTGAGTGTGCAGTAGTACCTCATAGTGGTTTTAATTTGCATTTCCTTGATGACTTAGGATGTTGTGTATCTTTTTATGTGTTTACTGGCCATATGTATACTTTCTTGTGAAGTGTCTATTAAACCCCCCCCCTTTTGGGGGGCTGTCTTCTTCTTATTGAGTTGTAAAAGTTCTTTATATATTCCGGATACGGGTCCTTTCTCAGATTTTTGCTTGGCAAATATTCTGGGCTTTCCAAGAATTTCGATAAAGTTCCACTTATCTTTTTCTTTTATGGTTAGTGCTTTTCGTATTCTCTCAAAAGGACTTTTCTTTCTCCATCGGATCACCGTCGTGGTGTCTGTTTTGGCGATCCCTCTGATCTGTGTGTATACCCTTAGGAACAGCACGCTGTCCTGAGCTCTGCTCTTGTCTCCTCGCCAGAACGAGACCCCTGCAGTCTGCTGGGGCTCCCCTCCCCACGCCACAGACAGGGACCTGGGTGAGGCAGACACTGAGGCGGCCATGTGGTCACCATCCTGTGTGGTGCCTGCTATCAAGTGTCGGTTGCTTATATTCTGCTATGTTTTCTAGCTCTTTGTGGCAGGAAGTCTTGCTTCATTTCTGCACCCACGAGGCCCAGCATACAGGTGCTCCATCCACGCTTGCTGAGGGGGCGAGTCATTGTCAGCACCTCCAAACACGGTCCATCGTAGCCTGTTCTGACTGGGAGAATCTGGAAGTGGTCCATCCCCTTCATTTTACCAGACGGTTCTTCTTCTGAGGGTAGTCGGGGGTCCCTCCCATCCTCAGCACCAGACCACTTGGGTTCCACACTGCCTGTTAAATGGGGAGACTGAGGTCCAGAGAAGGAAAGCTCATGTGACCAGACAGCGGCCAAGCCAGCACACCTGGGCTTCCTCAGCCAGGTTCTTCCTGTTGTCCCCCCTGGCAGGTCGGGCACCGTCCCTTTCGTCACGGTCTGACTCCAGCACCTACCACAGGGTGTGTATGTTGCAGGCTCCCGATACACGCTTCTTAAGTAAATGACCAAGAAGAAATGAAATCATTTCTTTGAATGTTCCGTTCACCTGGCCTCTGCAAATGGTATTAAACCTGTGTGTGCCCGCGGGCACGTGCTTTTGCACGGACACGGGACCGGCCATTCCCATCCAGGCTCAGAGGCCATAATCTATCAGAAAATCTTTTTTTTTTTTTTCTGGTTTTAATTTTCTCAGCCACCCTCTCAGCTTAATCCCCGCTAGGGGGCATGTGTATCCCACAGACAGGGTCCGTAATCCCTAGGTATGAGGGCTGGTTTCCAGCTGAAGTCAGCGGGTCCCTCTTGAGGCCACCTCCCTGAAACCGCACACCCTCCCCTGCAAAACAAACAACAGAGCCTTCCTCCTCAAGCTCCCCCATCTCAGGCTGGGCTGCTGGCTACCATCCTCTCCTACCCCCAGGGCTCTGCAACAGAGCCGTAGTGGCAATGAGTGACAAGCTCGATGATGTCTGTCGTCCTGGCTAGGGGCCACTGCTTCCTCCCTGAGGGCCGTGACAGGTCCTGGAAAGGCAGCTCTCCTCACTCCCCTCAGTTGGCAGGCCAGGACTGGCCTTACGGGGCCCAGAGTCTGGCCCAGCCTCGAATGATGAGTTTCTGCAGAGTGAGCAGTGGGAATATCACTGGACGGGGTCCACAGCTCTCTTTTCCTGTGCCCTGGGGGACAGGTCACACCCAGGACGTCCTCGAGCCCCAGCTCAAGACTTGAGTCAGTGCTCTGTGCCCCAACACCTTCCCAGGCTTTGGCATCACATTGCCCGGGCACACATCCTGGCTTCACTACTCGCTGTGAGTGACCTTGAGCAAGCTCTGTGAACTTCACTTCCCTTATTGGGTAAATGAGGATGACAACAGTTCCTGCCCCATAAATGAGACAATGCATATAAATAAAGCACTTGGCACAGCGCCTAGCACAGAAGAAGTGTTTGAGACACATTAGCCATTATTAATAATATTATTAGTATCATTATATTACTATAAACCTTGGCCATTTCCCTTCTTTCGGGGCTCACAAAGAAGCATTACTTCCCTCTAGCTCAAGGTCTTGGGCTTCTTCCTAACTGAGGTCCTGTAAAGGGTCCCTGGGAACCCGTGGGACCAGTCCTTATGCCACCGTGCCCGCCTCAGATCAAGTGCCACGCCCACCTTGTCTTGGACCAGGGCCTCTGCTGGATGCCCTCGCCCAGAACCATCCTGCCCGCATCCACACAACCACATGTTTGGGACGGGCGGGGTACTCCCGGTGGTGGCATCTGCCCCCTAGGGTGACACCGGACAGCAGCAACTGATGCAGCTGCCACGTCTGCTTCCCACCCCCGCGGCCTCATTAGCTCTCCGGTCATGTCCCAGTCTCCAGGAGCGACAGGCAGCAGCCCCGAGTCTCAGCCACAAAGGTAGCCGACAACAAACAGCACCTCCCTGCTCCCGCCCTGCCGCGCAGAGCAGCCTTTTCCCTGCCACTCAGGTTCCAACCAGCAGAGAGATTAGAGATTAGCATTCAGATGGAGGGTGGAAAAGCATCAGGGCCATCACCTCCTGTCTTCTCTAGGAGCTGAGATCCATGCGGGGAAGCAGAGCCCGTTGCAGGGAAGGTGTCCGGGTCAGACCTCCCACTGGAGGTTGGGACAGGGTTCCAGGCACCCGGCGGTGCTCCCTGGTCCAGTCTGCCTGGCTGCCGGGTCCTACCGGGTGCCCCTGTGCTGGGCCGGGCTCGGGCTTGTTTCCAGAACTGCCCATGGCCCCGCTGTTGAGTATGGGCAAAGACAGGGCAGGAAGGGCCATGGGGTGAGGAGGCGAAGGACTAGCTGTTCTGAATCTACCACTGTTGCAAAGTGACCTGTTGTTCAGTAGTTAACACCGTTCCCCAGGCTCAGATATATTGAACACTTACTAAGTGCGCTAAGCACTTTAGACACGTCATCTAATTTAACCCTTACAAGAACTCTGAGACAAGTTTACCGTTACCCTCCTCTTAGGAGAAACCCCAGGCAGGGGCGTTCAGCAACACACCCCAGGCCACAGAACTGAGAAGAGACGGTGGAGTCAGGATTCAAATCCGGTGCTCTGAGTCCGAACTCCTCGCTCTTAGATTCTACATTGATATTTCATGAGAGCCAGCACCCCCCCCCCGGCCAGGGGGGCACCAGCTCTCAGCCTCAGCGCTGTCTCTCCGGTTGCCCTTAATCCCTTCCCTCCTATTATGGTCAGTCTGCCAAGCCCCTGGGCTTTCCTGCTCCCATTCCCAAGCAGCAGCTCTTTCCAAGGAAATGGGGTTGGGGGGGGAGGAGGCAGCCTCTTGGGGACACTGGGTCCGCCCCCTGCAACGGGAGATAGTGGGCTGAGGAAGGAGCGCCCCGGGGCTGGGCAGCCTTCTCTAGAGGAGCGCTCGGCTGAGGGTGGCCCCTTCCTGCAGCAGGAAAGGGGCAGCAAATGTGCAAGTTGTGCAGAGAGCCCAGGGGTGGGAGAGCCCTGGGGAATAAGAGGGAGCGTGGGCTGGGCGTGTGGGGAAGGTGTAAACACAATCTGCTCCCACCGAAGCCAGCCTGCTCCTGGGGGAGAGGGCCCCTCCCTCCCGGCCCACATGGCACCCCAGCTGCCAGGGCCCGGGCAGGCGCCAAGGCCAGCCAACACACTCCCCCCATCCCCTCGCCTTCCCTCCCTTCATCTGGGACCCATGCCTGGAGGAGCCACCATCCCCTGAGCAGGCTCCTAGAACAGTGCTGCGAAGGGGTGTCACTTTGTGGAGGTGTGTCTGGGCCGCCAGCCAGCCCCTGTCCAGCCAGGTGACCTTGGCCTGACAATTCCTCAGACTAGTGCAAGGAGACAGGCCACCTGGAAACGGCAGAGAGCAGAGCCGAGGCTGAAGTGACAGGAACATGGCAAATAAGATTAGACGATGAATACACAGGTAGGGCTCAGGGACGCAGACTGGGGCCCCAGGAACGGTGCCCTCTGGCCCTCAACCTGACAGCCCTGTCACCAGGAAGACCGCTGCCTGGAGGAGAAAGACAAGCTGACAGGAGCTGAGACAGGTGGTCACGAACTCCTGGCCCGGGTCAACTGCGCAGTGGGGCTCTGTGGTGGTTCCAGCCCAGAGCTCCTTCCCCTGGTGGGACCCTTCCCCTGCCTCTGCCCCACCCTACTTCTAGAAGCTTCCACGGCACTGCCAGGCTCCCTGCAGGATCAGCAGCCCCTCCCCCATGGCTTCAGTGCGGGTCCCCTCTGTCTGCAGCATCTCACCCTTTCCTTCCCTCCTTCAGATGTGGAGTCACGGCGACAGAGGGGCTTCTGTCTAGAGAACTCCCCATCTCCTGCCTCCTGATGGCAGGGGCCAGCCAGACGGAGACTTCGCTGCCCGCCCACCCGCCTGCCTGCCTGCCCGCCCGCCATGGGGGCTGGATGGCAAGGAAGGGGGGGTGCACGTGCAGGAGGGGGTGGGGGGGTGCTTTGCAAGATGAATGGCTTCCAGACAGTCGGGAGCAGCTCCCTGCAGGTCTGTGCCTGGATCCCAGGGAGCAGAAGCGGAAATCTGCTTTGATCTCTGCTCTGGATCAGGCAGGATTGTGAAGAGAGAAATGGCAGAGCAGCTGGGGGCAAAGGAGGCCGCTGCGGTGCTGAGCAGTCAGCGGATTGACAAAAACAAGTGTCATGCTTCTTCCCTTCCCACAAGCTACTGGCCCTTTGGAACACACGCACGCATGCACACACGCGTGCCTGGAAGACACATTCGGAGCACAGCTGAGAGATGCCTCGCTCCAGCTGCAGGCAGACATGTCACAGATCCAACTGGCAGTTCTTGCAGATAATTTCAGCAGAGCGGCCGGCGACAGGGTGCGTCCTGGGGACCGGGGAAGGGAAGTGCCACAGGAAGTGCGTGCCAGCCGAGCAAAGTGATGCCATGCAGCCTTGGACCACAAGCGTTGGGGCTGCCAGGCCAGGGGAACCCCTTTTCACAGAACAGTTGCAAACTTCCAGGTGGTTTCAGAGACGACCGGGCCCTGGTGGCTAAGAGCGCGGGTGGCTCTGCAGCCTCCGTATGAGGCTGGGGGGGGTCCCCCATTAACTAGCTAGACGACACTGGACAAGTTCATTAGCCTCTCTGTGTTTCCTCATTTCCAAAATGTGGACAATAACATGCCCAGGCTCCTTGGGTTATTGCAAGGATTAAGTTAGGGAATGAATGAGAAGCCCTATCAGCGATCCTTTGGCTCTGGGGCTCCCTGCTCCCCATCTGCTCCTCCTCTAGCCGCCCCAGAGTAGACCCCGCCGAGTCCCGCTCTGGGCCGGCCTCAGACGGTCCTCAGGACCTCAGAGGAAGGGAGCCCAACCCAGAGCAATGAGCGTCACTGCCCCTCCTGCCGGCCCCAGCCAGGCCTTGCCTCAGGAGTCCCACCACCAGCACAGGGGGCAAAGTGAGGACAGGTCCAGGGGCTCAAAGGGAGGGGTCTACCTTCTTGATGGCTGCTTTTTCCCATTCTCCTGCTTCCTGTTGCTGCTTCCACCACAGCGTCCTTTGTGGGTGGGGAGCAAGCCAGGACTTGAACTAATACAGAAAACCAAACCAGATTAGCACTTCTTCCCATGCCAAGGCAGAGGCCTGCATTGCAGAATGGATATTCCAGAGCACCTCCTCTCCCTTAGAAGTCCGCTGGCACTTCTTCACCTCATCCCCAGCCCTAGAAAATGCTGTTGAGATCACATGTCGTTCCCTTAAAGCCCTTGCCTCGTGGTCTGGACCATAACAGGCTCAAGGTAGGAGCTGATGAGAGTCCACCCGCCTTATGCTCACCCTCCACCGATGACCACAGAGCTGGAGGTGGCCTGCTCTGCTCCCACACGGCCAGATTTGCAGAGTCTTCCTTCCTGGTCCCCAGCCCAGCCCTCTCCCCTCCAAGGCTCGCAGGCCTGCCCTACCTGCTTCTGCCCCTGATCTCAGTCCCTGGGGCCGAGCTCCGCCTGAAGAGGTGACGACTTACTTCAGAGACTCTTTCTCCCTAAACAGAAAAGCATGGGAGTCAGAGGATTGAGGGGGATGTCCTTCCCGAGTTTCCAGACTTCCTCTCCCTTCCACCCCAGGCCTAGCAAGTCACCCCACTATGGAGGGTTAGGAGCAGCCGGGAAATCAGCTGGAATTTGTGACTGTGGAATTGGAGAGCAGAAATTTCCCTCAGGCCAGCCCTTGAAGGCAGGAGGTGTTAGGTGTTAGGCCGATTTTTCCAGTTAACTGGGTCCCGAGGAGTTAACAGGAAACTGCTTCCTTCTGGCTAGACCACAAAAGGCCAGGCCAGATAGTCCAGATTCAGCTCTCTCCTCCTGACAGGGGGTCTGGGCCTATTTCGTGTGGAAGAGACAGACTGCCTGAAGTCAGGGACCCGTCTGTCCCCATCGGCCACAAATCAGATGGATGATCTTAAGCAAGTAACTTACACCTCCCTGTCCCTCAGTTTCTTCCACTATTAATGAGAGATAGAAACGCTTGTCTTGCCAACCCTCTGGGACTGTTACAACCTCCAAGTGAGTTAATATATGAGAGACCTCAGGGGAAGACTAAAACCCTGATCAAGAGCCAGGTAACAGCAGAATAGCCAGCTACTTCATGCCAAGTGCTTTACCATGATCTCAGTTTGAACCTCACAAACACCCCACACCATTCTGTTATTAATCCCAGTTTGTATATAAATGAAAAGGTCACGTAACTTTCCCTGAGTCTCTCAGTCAGTAAGCAGGGAGTCAGGATGTGGACTCTGGCTATACACCTCCAGACCCAAACTCAACCTGGAGGACCAGTCATTTGAGGGCCTGCTCTGTGTGAGGCCCGGGGCTCACCATTTCACCTAGGTCAGCCCATTTCACCAGTAGGGCTACTTGGGCACTTTCGTGACCATCTCAGCTAGCCTAGATGCCAAGGAAGGGCATCACAGAAATGCCTGTTTCCGGCACGTCCCCAGGGCTGCCCAGTGGGCCTTCTGACAGAGCCTGGAGGGATCCCAGCACCGAGGAGGAATTAGGGGCCACACACAGACGGAGACTCCCATTCTTGTGGCTTGCCAGTCTCTGTGTGACTGAGGGGCACTGCAGGTGGGTCCCACACCCCAAAAGAAGGAGACACTGGGGTGCCCCGGCAGGCAGGCACGCTGACTGCTCAGCCATCTGAGCCCTATGGGGAGACTCCCTCCAGCCAGGGGCCCTGGAGCCCAAGGGCATCCTGTTCTTTGTTTCACTAGGAGTGGGAGAAGGCTCCTAGACCTTTTGCCGGAGGGAATGTCACTCCACACAGGACTCCCACACTAGGTGGGCCCACAGGCACGAAAGAACATGCAAAACACTATGTTCTTAATAAATATTTGTCGATTTTTCCGGATTTTGTTGGGCACAGGAGCCCCTATCATCTAAGGACCCTGGTCACCCAGGGAAGGAAAAATCCATAAGTTCTCAAAACTTCACCCCTCGTAAAGGCCACATGGTTTCAGCCTAGGGAAGAGTTAACTTTCTGGCCACTGGAGACAGCGTCCAGCCCGCAGGAGCTGCCCAGCCAATGGCACTCCGTGCTGATGATGTCATGCTCCTCCTGCGCCTCCTATTGGGGACTGGACAGCCAGTCCAGCTCGCGGCTTGGGCAGAGGAGCCGCTGAGGCTGAGCGGGGGCAGCCGGGGAGGGGGAGGGGGAGGGGAAGGCGAGCTGAGCCGCCAGAGCTGCTTCTGCCCCGTCCCTCTCTCCAGTCCCCCTGCGCCTTCCGATAGGACCCTGGGGACCACCCCCACACTCGGACAAACAAGGCAGAGCAGCTTTGGTCCAGAGGAGAGGCTGGGGGCTCCCACTGCCACCTAGAGAAAACATTCAGCCTGCCCACCGGGCACACAGGGAACAGGGTGGCTGGGGCGAGGGGCCAGCCTCCAGCGTGCACGCACACACTCCTACACCTCCCCAAGCACGGACAGGGATAGGGAAAGCGGCAGCTTTCTTGGACGCACCCTCCCTCCTCCACCCCCCACTCTCTTCTGCCTTACCTGCCTGCGGACGGGAGGTCTGTTTCCAATCTGCTGCCCATAATGGCCCCGTCTACTCCTCTGGGCTCTCTGTGGGCAGGAGGAACAGGCAGGAGGAAGAGCTGTGGGCAGCGCCCAGGCCCAGACCCCCGCTCTCCTGCAGGACCTAGCCATGGTGGGCTGCGGGGCTGGGAGCTTCAGCCAGAGTCTTTGAAGAGGTGCAAACTCTCCCTGCTCTGAGGGGAAGCCTCTCAGGGACTCCCTGCAAATCCACCCCCCACCCCAAAGCCTCCCAGGAGGTCCAGGTAGCTCGGGCCCACCTTCAACTTGGCTCTGGCCCCGCACAGTAGTTCTTCCCCCCGCTCCCCACCCAAGCCCGCGGCCCAGTCAGTTTCTCACGGTTGGACCCGGTTGGCGAATCGGCGGCGCCAGAGCATGGCCAAGGTGCTGAGCAGGAAGAGGGTGGTGCACATGGCTCAGCAGCCCCATCCCCTCCCCGACAAGGTCTGTAGAAGAAGGCCAAAATGGCCCTGCCCGCTCTCACAAGCCACTGCTGTCCGTCCTGAGGTTCCTGCCTGCACTGGATTAGGAAGCTCAAGCTGATTATTGGAGTCAGCAGATCCGACCTTGTGCAGACTGATTAACCTCGCTCGGCCCAGGTTGTCTGCCGCAGTGGCAGGGTAAAGCAAGCTGTCCGTTCTGGATGTCGATGTGACTGAGACCTGGGCCCAACCCTCAAGGGGCTTCTAGTCTAGACACATGCCCTGGCCAGTTACGTAAATGACCACAATAGAGAGACGTAGGTGATGGAAGGCACCTGCAGAGCTTCAGGGAGTGCCCAATTGGAAGAGGAGCTGGGGGCATCAGAATTTGCAGGCTCTCAAGGAAGGTTGGGCCCCCGGCTGGAAGATTCTGCTGGGGGCTGCAGACATGAAAGCACAGGGCATGTTCCAGCAACTGGAAGTTGAGTGTCAGCAGAACAATGATGTCATGGGGAGGCATCGGGAGGGGAGAAGGGAGAAGAATATTAGATGATGAAGCCAGAAAGACAAGGGAGGCCAGGGAGTGAAGGGCTGGTTAAGCGGTTCAGTTCTCCCCTCTGGACAATCCTCTCCAAATGTTACTGATGACATACCCCCTTCTTTAAAAGACGGAATTTAAGTATGCATTGTGAAATAGGTATATGTATCCACTTAGACATTATATACTATACTACTGGGCAAACAGTCCTGCACCACGAACACACATAAGACTTGTAAAGGATGAGATGAAACTAAATAGAAATAAGATTTCTCCTGCTCGCTTTCCCAGTGGAAACCTCCTGGGCAGCTGCCTGGAAGGGCACCACACTGGCATTGGGTGTCCTATCAGAGGGCTTCAGGGAGGTGGCCAGGTGCAGAGTGCTCTGTCCTTGCCTAGGCAGCCTGTGGAGCAGACATGGGTCTGAGCATCCACCCTCTTCCATCCCTTTCCAAAATCCCCAGAAGAAGGCACTAGATTTTCCTTCCCTCAAATGAGATGGAGGCAGCGTCAAAGAGGCTCCTGCCCAGGATTCCAGGGAGGTACCTGAACCCTGAGCTCCAAGGAGGGCCAGAGCTGGGGCTCCAGCTGGGCTCTCTACTTTGAAATATGATTTTCAACATACCTAAACCAAAGCTGAAGAGGAGAGCCAACCTCTTCTAATACTCACAGTGGGACCCAAAGTCTTGAGAAGGGTGGGGTCACCAGGGAGCGTGCTTTAGGGGGAACTGGACATTGGCCTCGGGCGGGGGCTGGGAGTCAGAGGTGGGACCCGGCCATCCCAGGTCTGAACAGTTACTTGCAGGGTGGGGACCCTCTGGCTCTGAGGTCCAGCCCCCACCTCCGGTCCTGTGGCGCTTACACCTCGCAGAGCAGGACCACCAGGACAAGGATTTGTCTCCTCCATTCGCAGAACCGCTGCCTAGTCTCAGCCTTGGCAGCTGAGATGTCTCCAGGGCCTGGGCCTCCCCAAGATTTCTTGAACCTTCCCCCCAGTACCTCCTTGCCCGGCCGGCTGCCTTTCTTGTGGACTTTCCTCCACCAGGGCTGGAATTCGGGGTAGCGCCTGTTTTTTGCTTGCGTGTGTCATTAATAAGCCACCCAGGGACTTTTTTTTCCGAGGCCATGTGCACGTACAGGGTGGGGGTGGGGGTTGCTGGCCGGAAGGAAAGGGGACCGCAGGCCTCCCGCGCTGAAGTTCGACAGCCGTCCCCCATCCCCGCAGCGGGGGATTCCAATACGGAATTGGAGCAGGGAAGCGACCCCAGTCCTAAACCCTCCGGAGCCTGGGGTCGGGAGCTCTGGGAGTGGCGCCGCGGCCCCCAGTGGCTGGCTAGGGAGAAGCCCGGAGTGAGCGTGAGCTCAGCTGGGACCCCCGCGCCGCCGGAGGGGCTGCGTCCGCCCCCTCGGGCGGGCGGCCACGCCGCAAACGCCTGGGAGTGTTTGACTTTGACTCAGTTCCCCGCCGCGTGAAGGGTGCACACACGCGCACGGCCCGACACCGCCCGCAGCGTGAGCCGGGACACCGTGCCCCCCGACCTGCGCCCGCCCGGGGCGCACTCCTGCGC